GATATATCATTTTTAACATAGTGTAAGCCGCCCAACCGGTATAGCGGTTAGCGACGCTGACTGCAGTGCCGGAGGGACTAAGTTCGAATTCCGGAGAGGGCAGGGATGTTGTAAATGTATAGTGTCCGTGCGGCATGGGGTACTCTAATTAGGCGGTGAGCTGAATGTCCTCTCGAGAGGTTAGTGGTAGGAGAAGAGGGGTAGAAGACCCTTGGACCCGTCACCCTGTGGTGCTCTCCATCAAAATTGGGGTCGGAACTGAGCTAAATTGCACTGTCACCTTGAGCTAATGACAGGCATAAACTTGCGCTCCTTGCCACAAGGAATTTCGTGGGCTTGGGCTAACTATAGGTCAGACAAGTGAGCATTAGCAACAACAAGAACTATAGCATAGTGTAAAGTATCGAATTATATATCATAATGGGTGTAAGTGGTAACAGCAAAAAATGCTTTTATATGTGACTTTGCGCTAAGCTGATAATTTGTTGTTACATGATATGATTTTATTTTCGATGCAGATAATAAATAATATATCGAAATAAGAGTTGGTAAGAAGACACAATGTAACTGAAATGTATAATGTATGACACTATTCATTTTAATTACTCTATTTCGTATAAGTATCAATAAAACTTTAACAATAGATCATTCCCGATGCAATGGCAAGGGTGGGAGTTAATGTTGGATGCATATTTAATATTTGCATTTCTTTTTTTCTTTGTATATTTTATTTCCTCACTGCTTAATTTTATGTTATGATTTTTGCAATAATCTTGTTACTGGCAACGTGCTTTATTTACTATTAAGTTTGTGTGAGTGGCAACAGTTGTTCATGTTTATGTTTCAGTAGAGTAGCGTTCTTAGCCGCACTGCGCTGCAGGCAATTTTTCTCTTAAATATTTCATCTTTTTGAATAGCAATAAAGTTTATTATACAAAGCTGATGCTTTTTAGTTCAAGGCAACTAAACTTTCTATCATTTAAACGTATTAGAATACAATATTGCTTCACATACCGAACGCAATCCATTCCACCGTGGAACTCGTTATAAGAATCCCCTTTCTCCTCATCTACTCCGTAGATTTCTATAAGAATAATTTTAATCTGTTCCACAGGCCGATCCAAAATCTCAAAATATCGTAAAAAATTCCGTGACTGACTATGAAAAGAAAGCTAGTAATTTACAATTTTCTGGGTTACAAGAATATTTATATACATTTTATGATCTGGTCCCAAATTTTTTTCAGTTCAGTTTAGTTCCAGTTTTCCAAAATTTACTGCAAAGGCGGTAGACTCAGCTGCGCTTAAGCTTACACGTCTGCGTCTGGATTTTGGAGAGCTCAAATTTCAGTTAACTTTCTGTAATGGCTTTTATGTAATTTAAAGTGGCTTTATCATCTTCTTAGCACGATCCTGAACAAAGCCAGACATTGTCATTGAATAGATTACTTATGCTATTCATCTCAGATTATTTGGACAGCAATACTAGGCTGTGGCCTGGGCCCCTTCCCATTTCTAATAAAAAACATTTTCATTCAAAGAATTATGGATCAGTAAAATTTCTAATTTTTCAAAAAATCTCTAATAGTCGCTGTAGGTAAAGGCGCTTGTACTTTTTCCCCCTTCGCTAGAAGTTTCGCTCTGGGTTTCCCCATATTCTTGAACGATAAGGAATTTCAGTTCTTGGGGATATCAAGAGATACTTTTATTTGCCACTTTTCTACTTACTGTTTTTTTTACATAGAATTCTTTTTCTTTCATATTTACGCACTGTTGAAACAGGAAATGAAAAACATTTATTTCCGCATTCAATGTGTAATGATGTTGTTCACTTGCGGTTCGTATTGCAGAACTTTGTTATATGGAGCATTTTTCAATTCGTACTCAAATTCATGCTGTGGGACCTTTGTTTTCGTTATAAGGATAAATGATATTCTGTAATAATAGGATGAAATATCTGATGTCTCGTAAACTAGTAAACAGCATTTTAATTTCCAAGACGAAGCTGTGCTGACGTCTTGCTGCTTGTTGGTTAATCCGAGATAGAATAGGCGTTAGCAAGTAACAAATGACAAAATATTTATAATTAAAATGCAGTTGATAGCATTTTAATATAAAAGTCATAAAACACTTTAGGAAGCTCAGTTTTGAAGCCCCTAAACATTTTTATTTAAATATGTTTATAATTTAATGAAAGGTTTTAAAATTTATTTTGGGCTTAGATGGTTAATTACACTATTAAATCTCTGTGCCAAGAATTGGTTGTCTTCTCGAAAGGAATACCGAACAGTTATATGTCTTCCAGTTGTTAAAAGGAAACTCAGATACAAAGTTAATAGAATTATGCATGCTTTATCGTGGTAAAGTATGTGAAAAAAGCTTTGTTTTCTTTTCTTCTTCAACATATAATGTATTAGTAACCCATAACATAACAGCAGAAATGTCTAGGAACAAAATTCACTTTCCAGATTATGAACCCAAACTGCTTATTCTGAATGTTTCTGTGTATGTATATAATTATGCCTATGTATAAATTAAGATATCATTGTGTGCAATATAAGCAGAAGCTATCAAACGGAAGTATAATTTTAACGAAATAAACATTTGAAAAATGTAATGATAAACCCAACATGAAAAACCTCCTTTGGCTTCGATAACTTGGTATTCATTTTATCAGTTTTTCAATCACCTTTTTCACAGTTAATCAAGAACCAAAACTTTGGTTGTAATGGAGATGGGAAATTTAATGATGTACTTTCTATAATTTTTCTCTACCTTTCAGAAAGAAAGAGAGATTCTTGAATGAGCTGAGATCAGATGAGTTTCCTGATCTTTCAAAGTCATGTATTTGATATTTCTAAAACGCACTATCAACATTCTTGTTTTTTGGTATGGAAGGCAAGATTTTATTACAAAATCTCATTTTTATCAAGCCATATCTTCGTCCGAATTGGAACAATGGCAACGTTGTACAGAAAAAAACATTATCTCCAGCGCGCGAGATTGTGTATCGGAAATTCTAAGGATATTCTCATTTTAAAATTATTTTTCGATATTGCTCTTGAACTTAATTTCATGATTTAAGTGGGAAGAACAGTATATTTAATAAATAACGGTAACACAGAAAACGTTAAGAAAAAGCCCCCTTGAGCGTAATATAAAATTTGAAAACTTTCAAATTTTTTTATTAATATATTATTTTTTATTTTAAAATCGTCTATTCACCTAGAATATATAAATGAAATTAAATTTAAATAGGAGCATAAAATCTAAGTTTTGAGAGGAGTTTAAAAAATTCAGGTGGCTTCAGTCAAACATCTCTGTTTATTTTGTTCAGGTCTTAGTTCTTTACTTCAAGATGAAGCCAAAAAAAATCTTTATACTGTTGCAGTTCAGTTACGCATAATTTTATATTCTTTCAATTATTTAGTTTTCTGGTATGGATAGGTAAATGGGAAACAAGAATTCGTCCGCTAGTCTATCTTAGATTACCGTTTAGATTAAGTGAAAGTGACTTCATCATGTTATCTCTGAATGGAATTCTTAATTTGCTTTAATATAGCATTAAATATGTTCTAAGATACTAGTTTTTACTATCACTATATAGAATTTTTAAAGCATGTTTTATGAAGATTTTATGAAAAGTTTCACATGGTTATTGCAATCTGAGCAGGAATGCGATTTGCTACAGCAATTTGAAGTCTACTAAGGAGAATGTTTCTCATACGTGGTTTCTCATTAGAGTTTCATGGAAAGTCGTGTGATGTCTTGTTGAGACTAACTACGCAAAAGAAGTAGGCTAATACATTAGATAAAATTAGCAGATAATTCGAGAAGTATAAGAGTTGCCCAGTTACAATTTATTGTACTGTGAAATATATAGTTTTTGTACAAATCTTTCTTTAGACCTGAAGTTATATTCTTCAATAGTTACTCCAAAACAAAAGGTCTGAAATTGGCAAATGGATTTCTGTTATAAAAGCATTAATACAAGATATTTCACAAAGAAGTAGCAGATTTTAACTTAATTCCGAAACTATTATTTTATGCAATACGAAAACTTGGGATGCCTTGATAGGAAGAAAAATGAAAGTTTTCCACTTTAGATATGTGGTCTACAAATCGACGAACATCAAAATGATAATCAGTTTCATGCCAAACGTTTTATAATTGAGCAATATTTATAGAAATTATTGCCTTAAAAATTCTTTGCCAGACATCTTGCATTTCGATAGACATGCATTTTAGGTATCTTTAACAAACATTACAATACATTAGCATTTTTAAGAATCTTTAACAAACTTTGGAGAAAAATGTCTCAAAAATATAATGTGTGAACACTATGATGTTAAAAGCAACGTTTCATTTATTCCGATCTTACGGATATGATTCCTTAATTCATCTTAACTTGTGGACTTCGATCAACCCACAGATGAGGGATATATGTGATTAAATTTACTAGATCGCTAGAAAGCATACTAGAGATATCTTCCTATGGAAAGAATGGCTTCTTGTAGCACTTCGTAAAAAAAACTAAATCGGACTCACGTTAAGTATGGGGTGAAAAAGCGAAACCTCTCTTGCAGCCAGCCTGTTTGCCTGGATTTGAACTCCGTTCAAGATATTATTTTTCAACGCTTACATCGGCTGCTGGTGGTGTCTCCAAAAATGGGAAACAGTTGTTTTCAAATAATATATTCAACATAAGTGAACATGGGAACATAACAATCCTTCATTTCCTCATCCCTTGACATATGAAACATTTCTATGTTTCAAAAAGTAACAATTCTGAAAGCTAATGAAATCTGCTCCTTCTATCTGAAATACCTAGCATTTTCATATTATCAAACTCGTGGTTACCTGTAAGAGTAAATGAGGTGCACACCTAATTAAGTATTTTAGGAAAACACGAGAGTGAAATAGCTAGAAAAAAGAAATTCCTAATTTCAGATGCAATTTCAAATAATAATAGAAATTTTCTCCGTATCTCTTTCATTCCAGGTATCATGAACCAGGACAATTCGGAGCAAGTGATCCTGGATCCTGGTATGATTGCGAGGCATTACCTGAGGACGTGGTTCTTCCTGGACCTCATCAGCTCCATCCCATTAGACTATATCTTTCTCATTTTTAACAAGGACTACCAGGAGAATTACCAGCTGTTGCACGCGGGGCGGGCCTTGCGGATCCTACGGCTGGCTAAGATGCTCTCCTTGCTCAGGCTACTCAGGTTGTCCAGGCTGGTTCGGTATGTCAGCCAATGGGAAGAAGTCTACGTAAGTAAAAGCATTCTGTTGTTTCTCCGCTTTGCCTTCCTGCTCCCTAACACGAAGATGCATTGCAATGTATTTCGTTTGGCTTATTTAAGAGCACTAATTCACAAACTAATAAATTAACCGACAAGTAGTTGTTCTTAAATGATCTTTTTCTAAACAGATTATCCTTTAAGTAATAGCTCATATATTAAGCTACAAAAACATTCAAGAGTTACATTCTTAAACTATATGCAAAACATGCAATATTCTGATTACTGTACCTTATTGCTCTAACTGCTTATAGTAGTTTCATTTCGAAAGTTGAATCAAAACAAAGATGTGGAACGAAACTGCTGAAAAAAAAAACAGATTTTGGTAGTTTAATTAGAAAATAAAAAATAGATTTAGTTTCAATTTATGAAAATTCTACCGGTTAGTCTTCTACTGCTTCTTTTGTCCTTGCCTTATATTACGTTTTAAGCGTATTTATCATCCACAGGTTGAACTACAGTAGTCAACGGTTTTACGCACTTGATCACTAATAGTGCTAACATAATTTATTATGATTTAATCACAAACATAACACATTTCAGTGACATAACATATTTCAGTGACTTAACATATTTCAATGCTAACATTTATTTAAATTGTAATTTTCCAACACTTTGCTGTCTCCCTGCTTTCTTTTCGGGAATTCTCCTGCTCCTTGGTCTTCTCTGTCGTTGCAACAATGGCATAGTAAATATCCTTTGAATATGATCGGTGAGCGCTGACTGAAAAGGTTCAAAATTCTTAGTTAGTCATCACAATAAAATTATTACATGTTTAAAATTCATTTCGTAATGCACAAACAGAAAGGTAACTACCAAAGAGTTCTCAAAACATTTATAAACCTAGCAAACTATGCAGAGATTCCTGCCATGACTTTTATAGTGGTATATACTGAATGAACATGCTACTCGCACGTACTGGATATTAATACAACTACTAGTTTTTCATGTTAGGCTGATAGTTGACAGTTCATTCACTTTGAATAAAAAAATGAAACCACTTGCAATTTGTGTAAAACTTTAATGTAATTTGCTTCAATTTTCTTGAAGAAGCATGTAATATTTGTGAAATCAAGAGTAAAATATATTACTTTAAAACTTTACTTAAAATACTGGATGCTTTCAAAAATCCCTGGATTTTTAAATCTATTCATGTATTTAACAATCAAATTACCGGGACAGGCATACATATTCTCAGTGTTCCCCACTGAGGTGGATTTACGACGGGAGAGGTCCATTTCTCTTGAATATTAGAGGTTAACATGAGGAAAAATTTCACGTATTCTTTATATATATATATAAAAAAGAAGAAGGTCTATCTAAGAACCAAAACGAGTTTACTATATTTTTTTAGTTATTGGGGTTCCACTGAACAAAACTCACTGCGACTGAGACTTTCATAACTCCATAAATCCGCTTTTGGGTTTCCCTTAATTAAATCTTGGTCTTTTAAAAAATTTTTGATTTGAAGTTTTTTCATTCTCTCTAAATAAGATATAACATTAGCAATAATTTTATCCGTTCTAAAGCTTTTAAACCTGCTACTTACAAATATTGCCATACAGCTTCTTCTGCGTTGTCTGCGCAGTAGCCCTTTCCTGGTTAAAATAGGAAAGCGTATTATGATTGAAGTTTCCTTCATTTTATACAGTTGTGTTTTTCACGTTTAATAAACTAAGGCTACATTGTTATACAAGATATCATAGGCAAATCGCAACATTTTCCCCCCTTCATAAAACTCTTTAATTGACAAAATTATGAAATCAGTGCAAATTCCGTTTATTCACAAGCCGATGAATATTTGTGAGAACCTAATATGATATTCAATTTATACAGTTGCATATATCTTTAATTTTTATTTAAATGAATAATCAGAATTTTCCTTTTCAAACTTACGCACACTTACAGAAATTAAAATTATACCTTTAACTAAAAAAGTTAAATGAATAATGTATACTATTCATATGACATTAATGGACAGATAACCGCAAGAGAGCATGCGCTGTGATAGATCACATTAAAATCGCAAGAATTTTTAAAAGGTGGCTTAAAATTTCTCTTAATAAGATTTATTTTTACTTCAATACGTTCTACTTACCTAGAGCTGTCAGCTTAACAAAACTGTTGATATTAATCTGCTAATGCCAACTAATATCGAAAAATATAATAGAAACGTACTCTAAAAGCATGCATTTAGTAATAATTAGTGAGCTTCCGATTCTCTAACGAATCGAATAAGCGAATTCGTGAAACTGGCTACGGTATGAATTGCACGGGAATAAGAATGGGAGAATTAACAAAATAAGGAATAAATCCAACTTTAATATATTTTGAGACTTGGCGATAAGATTAAGCGAAACTAAATAATAAATAAATGATATTAAGTAAAGATTAGACGAAGGTGGGTCGATTATTTTATTGTTTTATTTTACGACAGTGTAGAACAAAGTAAAAAAAAAAAAAAAATAAATCATGGAATTAATCAAAAAGTTCTCTTTTAATAACGTCTCGGTGAAAATATTGCTAAATATTAATAAACATTCATTAGCTGAGTGCATCCACGCCTCACACATTTTTTTTCTTCGCCTTTTCTAATATTTACCTTCCTTTTTTTTAATGTAATCTCTTCCAAACCCTAAAATAAAAGATTCTTCAATAGAATGTCGCTCGTGAAAATGTTGCGTACCATTGCAATAGAGCTTTTATGCATACTGCACATTTCATTTTATTTTATGATAAAATATGCAGAGACATTATCATTTTTTTATGCTGGTGATGTGAAAAATGTGCAATGCCGTCTCAGGGACTCGAACCTGGACCTCTCGAATACGCGCCGAATGTGCTACCGTTGCACCGAAGGCATGCTCGAAGGAGGGAGAAGATACCTTATAAGTTAGAAAGAATATTATATTAAATGCAAAGAGATATCTTCTTGTAGGATTTACTAAGGAAAACTGGCTCATATTTATGTTTCACTGAGGAATACTTGAATGTGAGCAATTCGCAAACACTAGCGGATAAGCCTGCCAGAACAGCGGGATTTTCAAGCAAACAACGAATTCGTAAATAAATTTGTTGTTGACATGTTAGCGTCTTCAGAGATTTTACTTAATATTTCGGAACAACCCGCAGCAATCAAAAATTAATATCAAGCACAATCAGCAACAATCTATTCGTAAATAAATGTTTTGTTGCCAGTGCAGGGTTTTCAGAGTTTTTAATTAATATCTTGACTGATTAAAGTCATACGCTAATGAGAATGCTCGAAATGGCTTTCCATGAATTTTTGGAATCTAGGGAGTAACTTTCTCGGAATATAACTTCCCGGAAATGATGTTAAAACAAACAAACAGACGCGCACAGATTTTGATAGTATAGATTTTACAGTCTACCTCTTTTCGTGTTTACAGTATAAGGCTATAAATGTCAAACGTTCTGAAGCAGAAGAAAGAATAAAAGATATTAAAATATCGTTACATTTCTGAATCATGAGTATGATTTTCTCTATCTTTCGATTTTGTTTGGTTAAAGAAGATTTTATTTTATAAAAAATTTCACCTTACGTCAGATATATTGAGCAGGGTCTAAAATAAAACTTCAGTCCATAAAACAACTAAGGCTCTAGTTTTTAGAGCACTACTTTTATTCATTTTCGATGTGAAATTCATTAATGCATTACGTCTTCGTGTGTTTATAATAAATGAATGTGCTTGTCGTTGCATTTTTATTGAATATGTTATGAATTTTTGCCATCCTGAATGGTTTCTAATAAAATTTTCATCGATTTGCATCTTGTTTTTCAACTTCTTTTTTTCCATTTAAAAATTGAAATTTTTTGTTTCATAAATATATGCACCACTGTGCATTTAAGTATCTTTTATGGGTATTTCTAGAGTAAATTTGCATGTTTCTACACATTCTGATATTTTATATAATAACATAGAATAATCTAGCCACGATATCAGTTCTAATTAGCAGCAGTCGCAAAGCTCAAAAAGATGTTTAAAAGAAGACTGAATTAATTTGTTCTTAAAATGAGAATCTGAGTTTATTATTAAACTGTAAAATTTAAGTTTGATAAAATATCGCGAAACTTTCAATAACCCCGAGAGCCAAAGATAATTATTAATTATATATAGCTATCGGTATTTTTATATAAAGTATTATGTAAGCATAAGATTTGGTATAAGGAAGAATATAGTATAATAATCAGTTACTATAACCATAAGTGAGTCCAACGGTGTGTATCCATACACACCATTGGACTCACTTGTAGTTATCGATAATTGATGCCATCTTAAATGAATTAATGAAATTAAATAGCATTTGCTAAAAGTCATATTAATTCTCTCTCTATATGTATGAAACATCTGACTACACAAACCGTAAAAATTTTATCCAATTATTTGGCTAAAATTTTATGGTTGAATTACTTAATAAAACAGGAGAGAAATATATTCAGAAGCAATATTTTTGTTAGAATTTAACACCTTACGAAATAAATCTAAGGCATTAAAATAAGCATATAGAACTAAAGTTATGTAATAAAATATCAAAGCTGGGCAAATAAAAATTTAACAAAAAGTTTTTAACTATAAACAAAATAACATCAATCTGGATTCGAAAACAATTACCGCATTTACTTGCATACTTTCCCCATCGCGTAGTTTCCCATCTAGCTAAGCACAAGTTTCTGAAAACTTTTCAAATATTCACGTAATTTCCCCCTTCCTCAAGGGGTTTGTAAAGCGACCTTTCCTTATAAGTTCTAAAATGTATCCATTCACATAGTGATAATTTTCGTTTTGATGATTGATTTGCTGCTGGATTTTGTGTGAATGGACTCTGAATGATGAATTTTAAGAAAGCACGGGTATCTAAGCACTTTTGATGGTTCTGTAAATCATTGTATGTGTAAAGACAAACTGAACAGTGACGATGTCAAGAAAGATGAAGAAAACGACCTACAAGCTGTAGCAGATGATACAGCAGTTCCAACAGGATTAAATAATTTGAGACCCACGGAATAGCAGTGGACAACAATGAGAGCGGGTGAGATTTAAAGTACAGAGAAATAGAAATAAATGCTATTGTTCATATTTTTATGTAGTCGGATCGAAAACATATTCTTTTAAATAACTAATATTGTGATAGTTTATAGTAGTTTATCATGAGTACTTTCCATTTGTTATGTTGTTACTGTAACCGCGTCCTTAGAAATTAAATTATTCCCCAAAATTTTCCCTTTTCATTTTCGTACGATAAAATTAGTAAAATTAGAGGAACATGTGCAAGTAAATACGGTATTATGTAATTTAGATACATAAATATTTATTACTTCAAATATCAAAAAATTATTATAATGTTTGCATGTTCAATATGCAAGAGGTAAGATGTAAAGAATTTATGCAATCTAGACAAAATATAGATAAAACCTTAGTACAGTTTTAAGAGATATTTATTAGATGCATTTGGTTGCTTGGTTCAATTGCCTGAAACATTTTTTATCCTGTAAAACTGGCCCACCAGCGGCCGAGCGGTAAAGTCGCTGAACACTGGTAGTTCGGTCCGAGGTTCGAATCCCGCGAACGGGCTGGCTGCATGGGCGTTTTCGTGGTTTTCCCCATGTGTAACGTGTATACGAGCCAGTTTTCCTTAGAAAGTCCTCCACGAAAGGCATCCCTCCCCTTAGGCAGATAGCCCTAGTGTGTTTGCCATAATTGAATACACCTCCTGTAAAACTATTAATGTTATTTCAGAGAAACGGAATAATTTTACACATACTTTATTATCAAGCTTATAAATCTGGCATCTGAAACCTCAATTTATTTGTATAAATATCATGCTTCTTTAAGAAAATTAATTCCTTGTACTAGCAAATTTTAACTTATAAAACTGAGCTGAAAGTTTCAAAACGATTGATTGTAACTTTAGAATTTTAATCTTTGTTGCTTAGCACGTGCTTCATAATACTAAAATATTTTAAATATCTTAAACATTCAATCTCAAGTGATGTGTTTCTTGTTAAATAAATATTGAATTACCTCTTCCCTCCAAAAGAAACGACTTCATCGTAGTGATAGTCACATAGGCATTTTTATCTAAGAAAAAAGAAAAATAATGTGACTGACATAGTGACCAACCAGAAGACAAATTGATAATTTATTCAGATGCCATGAGCGATACAGAATTTTGCATAGTTCCTTGTTACTGGTGAGTCACCCCTTTGTGCCCAAGTATATAAGATCACTGAACCCCCGGTAGTTTGAATGCATAAAGGTTTTTCGGATCACTCTTAAATTTTCAAATATAAAGTCTACTTAAAAATTACTTTTATATTTTTTAACTTAGCATTTCAGCAGTTTTGAAGTTGATAAAATTTATTTCATCTCAAACCTTAAACATGTCTTTTGTTAAAAATATGACTGCGATAATTGATTACTGAGACCTAGGGACCTAGGGACCTAATTATATTATCAAAAGATAAGATTAATATTATCAAAAGATAAGATTAATATTATCAAAAGATTTTGAAGCACACGATATTATTTCACATTCTTTTCTGATATTTAGAGAATCCCAAAGCGCGATAAGTATTCCCCCCCCCAAAAAAAAAACAATTTCCATGTTTTTAGTATATGGTTAACCAAATGGATCGAGGAACTTGCGAGATGCATCACCAGTTTATTTTAAACAAATATTTTGTTTTTTAAAACATACTAGAACTTCAGCTATCCTAATTACCTGAATTATAGCTCATTCGGATGATTGAAAATTCGGAAAATTTAATATGCAAATAGAAAAATTATAATTATCCTCTTTTTTTAATTAAATTATGCAATTATATTTTCAACAATAATATATTGAAATATACTAAATTGTAATATATTTTGATTTTCTTTAAAAAATTTCAAAACGAATCATTTCGGCCCAAACTGAATAATAAAATTATTTTATTTACATAAGTAAAATTTTATGCTAAAACATATATAATTTTTTTTTCAATAGAAATCACGTACATAGAAACATACACCAGTAGGAAAAAAGGGAGAAAAGAAAGAAATTACTGTCTCGAAATTTCAGACTAACAACTTGAAAAAGAAATTAATGTTAAAAAGATCTTTAATTAAAATATACGAAATATCATGAAATAGTTCTTTTTTAAGGAGTATTATATCTACCGTTGTCACTCAAAAGTTAAATATTTACTGTTAAACAGAATTAAAATTCAACTTTAAAAGAATTTCAGTTTGCAAACTTCCGGCGTTTGTTTTTCGATTTCGCTTTATAATATAAAATGTTATTTACAAAATTTCAAAATGTAAGAAACTTACATTAATATTTGGATAAAATTAGAAAAAGAAGTCTACATAGAACTTTGGAATCTATATGTCACAATAAAACTTCATCACGATCAGTATATTTTTTACAGTGCGCGAAAACGTGGACATAAATTAGAAATTTTGCTACCCACATTTTATAAACATTGTTAGAAACGAATTTTAACAACGCTCTACTCACAGTATAAAATGACACTAGTCCTAACTAAAAGTCCAGACAAAATTATCTTTAAAATGATTAACTTGCTTTATACTGAACAACGAGCTTTCAAAATAATGATAAATAAAGTTGCACGGAATTTTCGCATATCTTTATGCAACGTAAATGGTTGGCACATTGAGTTAGTACTTGGAAGTACTGTGGTTTGAATTTCGGCAATGGCGCAGTTCATTTTTCATATTTTGGACTGTGAAAATACCCATGAATCTCTACAGTGCCGCCAGAACTAAAATTTAGTGGATTATAATTCGTCATCTGTTGGATTTGGTCGACTGGGTTTTGTGCCGCTTCTCAGTTTTTCATTATGTGGTTGAAAATATAACTATTGTAGTCCTTCTTGTATGCTTTCTAATGCAAGTAACTCGTCCCACTAATATTTAGAAGATAGAGAATTCGAATTCTCAAGAAAGCACGTTTAATTATTTCATGATTCCTTCTTCGAATTCTAATGAATCTCTACAAAGAAAATACTTAATGATCGTGGATTGGCTGTAATATACACTTACATCAAAACACAAATTATAGCAAAAACTATAAAACTTCGAGGTGTTAAAAAAAATCACGACATAATCAAAAGAGAACAGGGGAAAACAGTTTTAATTACGTCATAGTAAAATAAGATATAAATTTTTGCATGAAGAGTGATTAAACAAAATATTACTGCAATATGTATAGTTTATGAAAACGAAGCATTCGCAACAGCTAGGCAATAATTTTCTGAGTAAATAAAAATCATAAACCAATATAAGTGATTGCATGTTAAATAATTCTTTACGTATTTTTACGGATGGGGACACCCTGCAGAAATTCAGGAATTCATAGTCGCATCATTGGTTTGTTTTGGTTTATTTAATTATGGCAAATCAATCAATTTATTGATATGGCAAATCAATCAAGAACTAGCTACCTAAGTGGAAAGATATTATCATGGAGGACTTTTTAAGGGAAACTAGACTGACAATGTCACACATGGGGAAAGCTACAAAAATTCCTGTGTAGCCAGCCCGTTCGCGGGGATTTGAGCTCGGGGCTGAAAACCATTGTTCAGCATTCTACCGCTCGGGCATTGGTGGGGTCATGGTCACTTCATACTTGAGGTTTATTAAACTTAAGGTGAGTGCTATAAACATTCTTTGTGGTGAGATGTTATGGTTCTACAATACAACTTTTCTGATCAAGTGCATATGAAAAGGATAATTTTAAACGCGAACCTATATAGAAATGAGCAAGCTTACTCCAAACAAAATTATTAAAGAAAATTAGGTTTGATTTCATCTCATTGCCCTTATGCAAAATGGCTGATAAATATGCTTCAGAAAGTGAGGATATGTCAGAAATTTTGGTACTGATATATTAGCGCAACCACTTTAAAAAAGGTCATCAAATTTTAGGAATTCTGCAAAGTCTGGTAACCATGCGCGCAACAGTTTTTCACTTTTAACAAGCGAATGTCACCATTTTCACAAGCGTTCGTCTTCTTTCCCTCTTTTTCTTTCTTTTTTTTTGTATTATAGTACATGGAAGCTATGTTGTATAATACATCAGAGTTAGACGGAAAGCGCTAAGTCAGATTCGCGTGATTCGGTGTCTGATTTTGCTATCAGCCTCATTTTTGAATTAAATGGGACAAGTGGCTTAAAATTAGTTGATTGGAAGGTATCCAATAAAGGACGTCGTTTTCAAACATAATCAACATAACATATTATTAAAATAAATGAAGCACATAAAATGGACTTGCTTCGACGTCCATAGTTTCATAAAATGTAATAAAAGGCTCCTCGTTTTTTTTCTTCTCTATTTCTTTTTGGCAACTCTCAATTATCGCTTTTTTTTCTGTATGACTTTTCAAATGCTTTTCCTCTCGGCGAATCTTAAGATATTTTTTTTCTCAAATTCCATGAAAGAACTCAGCTTTTTTAAAAGAAGTCAGTTGCCACTGCTCGATACAAAATATGGTTATCTTCCACATGCCAGTTTCTTGCCGTTTGGTGAAGATTAGGTTATTTAATTGTTTTTAAGAAACATTAATCTTTCTGTTATAGATTAATAAACGAAGCGCTTTATAAGTAGTAAACGCATTTCTTTTTCATTAATTACTAGCTGTATCCATGAAATTACACTATTTGGAATTATTAAAAGCATTAAATGTTTTTTTCTTTTTTATGGTAGCTATTTTAGGCGGCTGCAGAACCAATGGTTAATTATTTATTTGAAACGTAAATGGACAACAAAAGTGAGGTTTGAGACTAATAGTCTTTCTGGGCTAAAACACGTATGGCAACACTTTACCAGGAATTCCGAAAATGGGCTGTTTTAGAAAAATTTGAGAATTTGATGTTGAATCTTATGTAGCGTAAGAGCGAAAAAAGTTATGTTTAATAATAAAATCTGAAAGATAAAAAAAAATGTATAAGGCATCTTGTTAAGATAACTGAACTTCTATACGATAGACTGAGAAAATAGGAAAATATATAGCAACACTTTCTCTCTAACGAGAATTCCTATGCTACATTCGAAATTTGGTGGTTTTACTGTTGAATTTTATGTGGCGTAAGGGTGAAGAAAATGATGTTTAATAATACTGTTAAAAAGGCAAATAAGTTGTGACAGCAGAAGTGAGTCCAAGAGATAACCCTCAACGAGAGCATAAACTATCTTAACAAACTCTCTAGTGCGACTTTAAAATCTGAATCCCTTCGGGTATTTTTTTTAATTTTATGCTTTAATTTTTTGGTTTAAAAATAATAATAATACAATGATTATATTAGATATAAAAAATTAGAAAAAACTGCATGATCTATGAACTCGTTTGTAATTTAACTGCATTTTTTGAAGCGGGGTGTAAAATTTTAGAGCATTTAGCATGCTCTGATGGACATTAATTCTTTAAAATTAATTTTAATACATAGGCAGAATAATGTTTTGCTTATCAGTATTTTCTGAATTACTGACAGTTTCAAAGGCAAATTAATTACAAGTATAAATGTGTAATGTGAAACAAGGAAAGTGATCGTTACGAAATATTCTCCAGAACTAAAAGAAACAAAACCGTAGTAAAAGTAGATTTACTGATAAGTGTTTCAGTATAAACACCTAATTAAAATATAAAATATGTATATATTAACATGTATGATGAGTGTTTTTTTCAATTACAAACCATTTTTTTTTTTTTTTGTCTGTAAAAAATTACTAAGCATCGGCAAGATGGTTTGCTCTTAAACGTAAGTATTGAAGATTTTAACTGATGAAATTCAAAACGCTCATGAAATGAAAACATTTATTATTTTTATAAAAAAGTGAAAGAGTTTATGAAATTCATTACAAAGCAATGATTTTTGATACAAAGCGTCATGATTTCAAAATGCCTAATTTATAATACGATGCTATTACGTGTACGACAGTACAAGTTTATTTCCCTTAAAAAGGTCTCCATGAAAGTGTTCCTCTCCGTAGGCAGATAAACCCCACTAGTTGAGAATATTTGAGAATCTGAATATTGGTAGTTCGACCCAGGTATGTATTCAGGCAATCGGGTTAGG